ACGATCCCAAGACTGCCTTATGATATGTTTCTTAACTGTTTTCCAAGCAACTAAATGAAAACTCCTCTTTTCACTTGAATTACTTCATAGGAATCTATATTGAATGACTCTCAACTTTTTTGCCACACTCATTGGAATAGTCAAGATCAGTAGAAAATAAATTGGTGAATTTAAAATGTCTCTTAATGAGAGTCAATCTTCCTCCTTTTGATAAGAAGTTCATTTTCCAATCCATTAGTTTGGTTTCACATGTATTGACAATGGATCCCTAATGGAAACATCTTCAAATTTTATATCTAGAGGTAAGCCCGAATACTTCATAAGAAGATAAGTCACTCTACATCCAAAAGAAGAAGCAAAGTCTTTTGAATCCCTCATGTCTCCTATCCGAACCACCTCTGATATTCACATATTTATCTTGAGCCCAAAAGCCACTTGAAAGCAAAGTAGCACGCACCTAATATTCAGTAAGAATTGTGGTTCACCATTATTGTTGATTTTATATAAAAAATATAAATTTTATTTTTTCACTCCCTTTACGTTGTTACACTTAAGGTGTTTATAAAATTTTTAACCTACAGATAAAGAAATTACTATTTTAGTAGAATTTTAATTACATGAGATAACTATTCTAATAGAATTCTAATTACATCATCTCAACTAATTAAATAATAAAATATCTTAATCAACACTCCCTCTCAAGTTGGTGCAAAGATATCACACATGTCCAACTTGCAGAACAAGTTTTAAAAAGATTTGCTGCTTCCGTCATGTTTTAAAGTAAAAGAGAAAGAACAACATCTAATAGTTAATCTCATAAGGATATAACAAAAATTTTATCCAACACTTATGGAGTTAAAAACAGCAGGATAAGGCCAAAAAGGGAAATAAGTTGCGAGTTCGGAGTTAGTGACCAAAAACAGACCGATCCAGCGGCAGACACGGCGACAAAGGCGGCGATGCTTGGAAAAAAGATCAGAAAAGACAAGTCAGAGCAGTTCGCACACAGAGAAACTAGATTGGTGCTAGATTGCAAAACCAGAAGCCGGATGCGTAGGGGAGCTGGAAAAATGACTAGAGAAGGTTGATCGAAGCGGCTTGCATGCATAGGAACCCAATCGGCATCAATATCGCAAAACCGAAGGTGGATGCACGCGGATGAGCCAGAAGGACCAGATAAGGCCGGTCGAAGTGGCTCGCGCGTGGAGGAGTCAGATCGCGAAATCTTTCCCGGCGTGGTCGGGTTTGCCCGAGAGAGGGGAATATGCGTTGGATCTGTAAAGTCGGTCCCCATGCACACACCAGAAGGTTGATTCAAGTCGGAGGAAAAGAATTCCAAGGGTGCATGTGGCTCACGTGCTTTTATTGCAGCGACGCTTATGGCTCACGTACTTCTACTGCAGCGGCGCTTGTGGCTCACGCACTCCAGAAATAGTCAACTAAGTGGGGGGACAGGCTGGCAGTGAGGCTGCAAATCCATTTAGGGTGGTAGTGAGATTAGATCTTCATAAGTGAATACCAAATCAACTTATTTGCTATTTTAGGTTTAAATAAAACCCCAAAATTAGAATTATAAAATAACTTTATTTAACTCTGATACCATGTTGATTTTGGAGAAAAATATAAACTTTATTTTTTCACTCTATTTATATTGTTATACATGAGTATTTATAGAATTCTTATTTACAGATAGAAAATTCATATTTTATAAAATTCTAATTACATTAGATACTAATTTAGTAGAATTTAATTATATCATC